AGATTCAGTTTCTGATTACAAAGAGCGCGGGTGTTACTAAAAAACGACTAACGGAATGAGTAATGAGTAACGAGTAATAGAGTAATGGAAAAACGAGTAATAGCCAAATTTTGCCACATAGAAATGTTTCAAATGGCGGCTATTTATTGTGGAAAAAGTTACTGTTATTACGAGAGAAAGAGACTGTTACCCATTGATGGGATTTGCTGGTTTTATTTGCAGCAAAAGGCAGGAAGTACTAGCATAAAACTCGTCTTGTTGGGCGTGGATCTCGCCACAAGGCCGAGAAAGTTCTTTAGGAAAAAAAGTCGTGAACTTTAAACCGAAGTTGTTACAATACACTCCACTTTCGCTCAATAAATACATAAAGTTAAAAATATGCAACAATAGTCGATTTGCCACACTTGTACATTTATGATTTTTTTTGGATCTTTACATTGGAACTCTTTGAGTTCACGAGGCGGACGATTAAGGACCCGACGATAAATTGAGTGCAAAGCTTTAACTTACGATTATCCTCCACTTCTACTTCATCCTCGCTTACACTGTAATTTCGATCGAGCTGATTCAGCCCCAAAAATGGGGCCGTTTCGGTGTGTAAAATATGGCACATATTTTGGGGCTGATTTGGCCCTGTTTCTAAAGGGCTGAATTGGACCTGGTCTTAAGGGCTGAATTGACATTCAGAGGAGGAGCTAAAACGAACCCACACAAGTCTGTTTTGGAAAATGAAGGTGCTGATTTGAAAGATAGAGGTGCTGTTTTGGAATTCTTAGGAGCTAAATTAAATTTTCATAGAGCTGAAACGTTACCAAGATTAGGGTTGTTTTGGCCATGAATTGTTCATAATAGCCCTTTAAGAAATTACCATACATTGTTGTACATGTCGTATTTACAATTATGACACTATTTCTTATATATTTTTTTTAATTTAAAAGTTTAATTTTGAAACCACACTGTTACAGTCAATAATACATACTGTATATGCCAAAACTTCAAACTTTGATGCAAAAGGATTACATATATGTGGAATATTCATAGTGCAGCGATACACTTCACCACATGCAGATAGATAATTATGCAAAAGTAGCATTGCCCAGGGTTGAATCCTAGAGCAGCTTTGACAGACACGACCTCTTCCGATACAGAGTGGTTTTCAGGTTGTCCTTGACTTAATTTATTCATTTGAAATTGCACTAATGAAAGAGGTCACCGACATTAAGGTATTTCTACTTCAAACAGTATTTGTTCTAAGAAAGACAAAATAATCCCTCCCTTCTTATAAACAATGTTAAAAACATAAAAAGATCCCAAAAGAGCAATAATGCCATCCATGATTGGGGGAGAGTGCATGATATTCTTCCTTCACACAGGTATGTAAAGGGCATCCAAATCATGCAGCTCTCCCACTCCTACTAACTGTGGCTGTACAAACTTCTGATTTTCATCATCAATGTTGGTGTCTCTCTGAAAATAACAACAAAAACAAAAACAAAAAATTTGAAATTTGCAGCAAATATTGTTCATGACATGGTGATGAATACTCCAGTTTTGAGTTCCCTATTGCAGTGTTAGCCTCAATTGCATGCAATATACAGTCAATTAAAAAAATGTTGTTGTCGACCAACTCAAGCCTACGCGCCTGGACCGAAAGGAACTCTGGGTAGTAATCATTGACGCCGAGTTGACTCCATAATTTTATCTGACTAATTATGCCTTGTTTACAGCACGAACCTTCGTAAGCGAGCGGGAAGTGTTGAAGGAGACGTTTTTTAAATGCCTTCATATATATTCGAAATTGTGAACTGAATCATAAGTACTTTGTTTTTGTTTCCTTAACCCCAAAGACATGCATTTGATGGATTGTTTCTTGCCTTAAATATCTTATTACTAGCGGGCACAATTTATTCAGAACGAATATTTAAACCGCTTCAGTGAGTTTTACCCATATTCCTTTCGGTCCAGTCGCGTAGGCTTGAGCCGGTCGACGACAACGTTTTTTGAATTGACTGTATTCTTTAGCATTGGTACAGCCCCTTGTAATGATTTTAGAAATGTATACAAATAAATAATACAATTGCTTTAGAATTCCACGGTTGTTGTTCTAAGTGCTGAATAACTTACGCACAATTGAGGCTAACCCAAAGCAAAAGGGAACTTGAAACTGGAGTATTGGGATAGCCCACTTTCGATATCCTAGTTGAGTGATATTGCATACATCTTAAGAACATCTTATGAGATTTGGCATAAGTTGGTTAAAGAAAAAAATATTACCTGTTATATCAGTCTTGACCAGACAAAGCAGCCTCCATACTTGTAAGATATTTTTGCATCTCTTTATTTTTTCCAGCATATGTTATAATCTAAAGTGGATTAATAAATTCATTTGCTAATTTACTGCTGCTACAAAGAAGAGAATAAAATAGCCAGAATATTTTAGTTGAATATTCATTGTTCACTCCACACGTAAACACTTGGGCATCAAGGGGATTTATTCTAACCTTAGGTTGCCATTCAATGAATTTTTCTTTTACACCTGTTATAAGGTCATCATTTCCAAAAATTAATCTTTATTATAGCATTATTATAGCAAATATTTACTTATTTAAGTCAGTAATAGTTAAAAACTTAAAAGGTTTATGTCTCATAAGCAAACGAGTATCGTAACATATACAAGGAAACATTTTTTTAGCACACTGCTACCTAAAATGTAATCAAGCAATGCATATGGGACATGAATTACCAAGACTCAAGGTCCCGCTTTCAACATGCATTTACCTTGATCACAGATTAGAACACACAAATTAATAACACTACCTTAAGTCTAACCAAGCAATGCATACTGTACATGAGTTACCAAGACTCAAGGTCTTGCACTCACATGCATTTACCTTGATCACAGATTAGAACAAACACATTAATATCACTGCATTAAGTCTATAAACCAAGCAATGCATACTGTACATGAATTAACAAGACTCAAGGTCTCGCACTCAACATGCATTTACCATTTCTATTCAAAATCTGCTTTGGTAGAGAAGAGCAGATTTTGAAAAACCCACTAAACGGCCTCAAATCGCGCTGAAACTTCACCAGAATACTGAACAAAGTAAAAGCAACAACTGCAGCAAATTTTGAGGCAAATTGTTGAGCAAAACATTTTATTGTCATGACTTCATCATAACTCCCATACATTCCCTTATAAATCATACACAGCAACCTTGTTTGGGCTGCCTGTGTGTGGACCACCGGAAAATTGCACAACTACATATTGCATTACCTCACTAACCTTGTCGTCATCGATAAATTTCCTATTAGAGTCTTAAAAAGTTTCCTTTCTTTAAACACAGGCAGAAATTGCCTCATTTCCGCTTCGTCTTTAAACAATCCAATAAGCTCCTCGCCGTCAAGACCGTCGGCAGCTGAAAAAAGAAAGGGCCACGATCTGTATTAAAATAAGTACGAAATCATGACATTGAACTCAAAAAGTCAAGCTTACCGAACTTTTCTTTCATCTCGGGTGCAAAATTGTTTTTGACCAACCAGGATTCTAACTACTTCTGAAGGAGAGAAATCTTTGCTGAACTCCAATCCTTTATTTATTGGCTTCGGTATAGTTTTTCATTGTTTCCAGTTAGGTGGTTCATTTAAGTCTGGGTTTTGATGCCAGATCCGTTGTTTCAGCTCTCAGTATAACGGGTCATTTCACCCTATTAAAAGACTAAAATGGCCCTTTTAATGTAGGGCTGAATTGGCCTGTTGAGTCGAAACAGTCATTGCTGGAGTCGAAATAGAAATCACTGGAGCTCTTACAGCTCTTAGAAGGGTCAATTCGGATTTATCAAGGGTCATTTCGGATGTGGATGGGGCTGTTTTGGCTATCGTTTTCAAAACAGCCCCTTCAGGGCTGATTTGGACTTTGGGGCTGAATCAGCTCGATCGAATTTACAGTGTATGACAGTTATTTGTAAGAAAATGATAAATAAAGCTATTGATGGGTTGCAAGCATTCCCAAGAGAGTTAAAAGACAAAAACATGGCGGCCATTGTGGTACCGTTAACAATTGATGCTAATGAGAAATCGTTCGTTAAATGGTATACCAACATGGCCCCGATGGCGTAACGTGCAAACGAAGAATACGTGCGTTCACGTTTGGAATACAGGACACTAACCTTCCTCCATTTTGGCACACCACATGTACAAGACGACCCAGACAAGAACACGTACACGTGCCATTTCCACAATCACAGTAAATCGGATAGGGCGGTTTTGGCCCCAAAAATAGGGCCACAATTTCGACCCTATAGATGGTACCATTAAAGTAGGGCCATTTTGGCACTTCAGGAATTGGAGCTATTTTAGCTTTTTGTGGCTGTTTTAGCCCATATGGGGGGCTAAATGCTGACCCTAAAATGGCCCCTTGTGGTTTATATAATAATTTATATAGGCGCTCAAAGTCATTAAAATATTCTGAAGCGCTTTACATCCATGGTTAGAAAATAAAGAAAACAAAATCCTGTTATGGAACTGATATAGAATGAAAAAAGCTATTAACGCAGTAAGAAAGAAAGAAATTACTCGATATCAAATAGGAAAAATTTACATAAATGTAATGATTTTTAATATCATTGCTTCACTGAGCTCGGCGCTTAGGACTCAAGTTTTAGAATAACTTTTAGTTGGCAATATTCTGATGATCGACTTGTGCCATATGAAGTTCCACCCGACAATACACCAAGGTAAAAAATATATCTATATATCTATATGCTTATAGCCTTTATTAAATAYGTCACGTGCAGTACTTTGGTTTATTCATACTAAAAACCCGGCTAGTAGAATAATAATGTTTTTTAACTTTCTAAAACAAYACTGAGACAGAGAGCTTTTGAATTCGCGTTTGATTGAATGAAATCAGCGGATTTTCCTCAGCCACCAGCCAACCAATCCGCAAACACCAGCATAAAAAATTTTCCCTCGATGTTTGTTCTCCCAGTTGTCAATAGTTTCTTGCGGTAAACAAGAAAAAAAGCGTTTGTTTTTGGAAAGAAGTTTCTGGGGCTAATAGACAATTTCGTTCCGTATGATTAAATATACGCCAACCAAGTCTAGCAGAATTTTATTCTGTGATAAAAACTACTGACCATGAAAACTTAAGTTCTGCATATCATCTGCTTCTTGAAAGAACTTAGGAGTAGCGAAGACCTCTGGTCCCAAAGAGACAAGCAGGTGATGTATAGTTTTTATCTCAACATTTTTCGTTGTTCGAACTCGAACTCGAAACAAACATATGTAGCCTTGCCATGGATTGCTTACTGATTCAAAGAATATTCTCTCAATTGAATCGAAGCGACAAGTTTGTTAAAAGTACTCCTCGTTGAGAATTAAAACTTAAGTTCTCAACGTAACGTCACTGTAAGTGATAACTTATGCTGTACACCATCAGGTTCAAAATTTATCAAAGTTAAGAAAAATTAATTTTGGGAAAAACCTTGTTTCCCCCTCTTTTGTAGTTATTTGTAATAATATTGTTTGACTCAGCTAGGAATATTCGTAGATATAGTAATCGATGAGCGATTTGAAAAGAAAGACTTGAAAACTGAATACTTCAAAAGACTTAAGTTTGAAGAAAGTTTATGAGACCTATTTTTCAAAACGGCTGTGTTTTTCCGTGCAATGGCATAAGTGGTATTGATTAAAAAAGCACGGTTACATTAGAATATATTAGACATTTTCTTTAAATTTGGTGTCTTCTGAAACTCATAATTCATCGGAAAGCCGAAATGGAATATGGTGTCGCTTTATTTAAACTAGGTCAGTCATGCATTTAAGTTGGTTTGAATTCAAAACAAGAGGGTAAAACTGAGGATCAGAAATATTAACGAGCTCGATTCCATTAGTTATAACTAAAAAAGGATGCCAAGATGATGTGCAATCTATACATTTTCCGCGGCTATAAATAGTTTTTCTTTTTAATGTATCAAGCCGAGAATTATTAATATATACTGCTTTATACGCGTTACATACTTCTGAAGATTTTTATGGGAGTGCTCCCAAATTCAATTTCTGGTTACAAAGATTGCAACTTACCGGCAAGTAACAACACGTAATACGTCGAGTCGAATTACGTTCAAAACAGCCACTTATTTTACACTTTTCTGGTTATTTGGCAGAGAATTCGGCATCTAGTAATACTTTTTTTAACATACAGCAAAAAAATGTGACCTTGGATTTAATATTCACTTTGAAGTACTGTTTTTAAGATACCGCTGAAGTTTATTTGATGATCATGAAATAAGACCCATGCCAGTACGCCATTAGTCCCGGACGAGGATGCCTATCTTCCGAGTTAGGATTCGAGTTGGGATTCGAGTTGGGAGTCGAGTTGGGATTCGAGTTAGGATTCCAGTTGGGATTCGAGTTGGCATTCAAGTTAGGATTGGAGTTGACATTCGAGTTGGCATTGGAGTTGCCATTCGAGTTAGGATTCGAGTTGGCATTCGAGTTAGGATTCGAGTTAGGATTCGAGTTGGGATTCGATTTGGGATTCGAGTTAGGATTCGAGTTGGGATTCGAGTTGGGATTCGAGTTGGCATTCGAGTTAGGATTCGAGTTGGCATTGGAGTTGGCAGTCGAGTTAGGATTCGAGTTGGGATTCGATTTGGGATTCGAGTTAGGATTCGAGTTGTCATTGGAGTTAGGATTCGAGTTGGCATTGGAGTTGGCATTCGAGTTAGGATTCGCGCTGGCATTCGAGTTGGCATTCGAGTTAGGATTCGAGTTAGGATTTGAGTTGGCATTGGAGTTGGCATTCGAGTTAGGATTCGAGTTAGGATTCGAGTTAGGATTCCAGTTGGCATTGGAGTTGGCATTGGAGTTAGGATTCGAGTTGGCATTGGAGTTGGCATTGGAGTTAGGATTCGAGTTGGCATTGGAGTTGGCAGTCGAGTTAGGATTCGAGTTGTCATTCGAGTTGGCATTGGAGTTAGGATTCGAGTTGGGATTCGAGTTAGGATTCGACTTAGGATTCGAGTTGGCATTCGAGTTAGGATTCGAGTTGGGATTCGAGTTGGCATTGGAGTTAGGATTCGAGTTGGCATTGGAGTTGGCATTGGAGTTGTCAGTCGAGTTGGCATTGGAGTTAGGATTCCAGTTGGGATTCGAGTTGGCATTCGACAGGGGTGGCGGAAGCGGGGGGGGCCGGTGGGGCACTGGCCCCCCACTAGATTTTTTGGGGTGGCCTCCCAGAATATAATGCCTCACACAAAAGGGACCGCATGAGATTTGGTTATGATTACCATTATTTATTATTTTGATATTACATAATTTTCTGTATCAAAAAAAATATACGATATATCTAGCGACGACTTGCATCATTTTTGTGTCTCTCAGCACAATTGCAAGTGTTTTAATGCGCGCAAAATGTTACTGATTGAAATATCACACATACACGTTTGTAATCAAGCTAAACAGGTGGGGAGGGGGGGGGTCATTTCAATGCACCGTGAAATATTGGAGTGCCCCCCCAAAATGTTTCAGCTTTCGCCGTCCCTGTTCGAGTTTGCATTCGAGTTAGGATTCGAGTTGGCATTCGAGTTGGTATTCGAGTTGGCATTGGAGTTAGGATTCGAGTTGTCATTCGAGTTGGCATTCGAGTTAGGATTCGAGTTGGTATTGGCGTTTGGATTCGAGTTGGCATTGGAGTTAGGATTGGAGTTGGCATTGGAGTTAGGATTGGAGTTGGCATTCGAGTTAGGATTCGAGTTGGCATTCGAGTTAGGATTCGAGCTAGGATTCGAGTTGGCATTCGAGTTAGGATTCGAGTTGGGATTCGAGTTGGCATTCGAGTTAGGATTCCAGTTGGCATTGGAGTTGGCATTCGAGTTAGGATTCGAGTGGGCATTGGAGTTGGCATTCGAGTTAGTATTCGAGTTGGCATTCGAGTTAGGATTCGAGTTAGTATTCGAGTTGGCATTCGAGTTAGGATTCGAGTTGGCATTGGAGTTGGCATT